TCGCTGTCATTTACTACTGCTGCTGTTGCTGTTCTATAATACATTTCATTATCTTATTCTTTTATTCTCTTCCGTTTAATCATTTATTTGTTTGTTTTTTTTTTCTTCTTTTTCCATGATTTGTTTCTTTGAATAATTTTCTCACGATTTCATTTTTCACGCTTCTATATATATATATATATATATATATATAGATATATCATTTAATGAAATTTCATTTCACGTTCTACACGCGCAATTTCCTTTGGCCATCTCGCGCGTGTGCATCGTTCATTTTTCTCTTTCCTCTTGCACGAATACAGGATTGTCCACACGTTTACATTCTGTACTAAAAGTGCAGCTCTATATAAAAGATAACGTTGCTTCTTTTGCGCACAGCAACTTAAGGCGATATAATTATATATGAATACTCTTATAATGTATCTATGTACGAACGCCAGTGGTCCTCTATTAAAAACGTTCCAAAAATGAATTCCTATTTTACTCGTACTCCGTCGATCGTATTTTCACAATTATTATTCTCTCTCTCTCTCTCTCGCTCGCTCGCTTTCTCTCTCTCTCTCTCTTTCTCTCTTTCGCTCGCTCGCTCACTCGCTCTCATTCTCTCTTTCACTCTTATTCTTGCTTCTTTCTTTTTCTGTATTATTTATGTAAAGTACAATAATTCAACAACGAGCATCTGTAGCCAGTATATAACGAGTATTTTTTTCATTTTTTCTTTTAATAAGATTTGATATATTATAATATAAGAATCTACGTTTCTTTCTCTCCCTCTTATTCTCTCATTCTTTCTCTCTCTTTCTCTCTCTCGCGCATTCTGTTTCTCTCTCATTATCTCTTTGTTTCTTTCAAATGGTGTCCACATTAAACGATCGATGAAAAACGAGTCGTATATAAATATTACTCCAGCGGAATAATCATGTGACGACTAGCTGCTATAATATAAACACGATTCATATCGTGGCAAAAATTTTTCCTCAACAAGAATGAAGAGAAGATGCTCGTAGACAAATAGATAATAATGCATGGCATGATTATTGGTGTATATTATATCCTTTTCTATCGAAAAGTCTTTTTTTTTTTTGTATGTGCTAAAAGAGGCAGAATGGTGGAGAAGAGGGGCGTGGTGTAAAAGGGGATTGGGAAACATTCATAAAGAGTATATAGCAACACTATATGTACAAAATAATTCCAGCAAAAATGACGTTTTTCCATATTAATAATAATTATCGAGAATAATTTTTACACCCGCCTTCTCCGCTAAACCGGATAATAAAGCCATCTTAGGGAACACACACATATACGTATATACTATATATCGTCACCCTCATACCTCAATATGTCAGTTATATACTTGATTGGGAGAGAGAAAAAAAAAAAAAAAAAAAAAAAAAAA